TGAGCTTTGGATGAGGCCCATCGAGTACAGTTGTATCTGATATTAATTTGTTCTTTCAAAACATTTGCTATAGTACTATAAACCATGTAGCAATGTGCCTACTCTACAGTGCAGTATTCTTGCACTGAATACTAGTTTATCACATGCCAGCTTTTTTAAATTAATGGGGTTACTTGTGCAGCAAAGTGGTACTGAATATCAATTAGGGTATCATTATCTAGTCTTTAATCTCCAACTGAGGAGAGGTCTAATACAGAGCCATTTGTCTGAAACCCAATAACATCAGGAGGGGGTCAGTCAAAGGGGGAAGGGACAAAAATCACCATGGTTTGGATATGATTTTGCAAAACAACAACTTGATTTCCCCAAAACAAAAACTACTGATAGGTTCCACCTGTCTTCCTCCAACACGCTAGAATTCCAGACCTCAGATAGTGTCTTTAGTTGGAAATCCACTACATTCTGATCCAGTTAACTTTTACTGGATTAATTATCACTTGTAATAAGAAAACTGCTGAATGTTTATATGTCCAATATTACCCTAATCACTGGGCTATATGTCAACATTGATAGTTTTACTGAACTATCTTGAAATTCTTATAGTTTGAGATGTCACTGATCCTGACATATTAGACTCTATTTTATACCTACACTGCTTGCAAACCTACTGATGTCAATAGAGTTGCATGGGGTGAAAGCAGAAGCAGAATTTGGCACTCTGCACACAGAAGATTCTATCCAGCACCTCCAAGCACCGAAAGGACAAGAGAAGGGCAAAGAGGGTGTAAATGAATTGTACGTCCCAGGTATTCATCAGGGGTCTGATATGAAAATGGTGACCCCTTTCAAGGTTACAATCTTGCCTTCACATGGCAGATAACTGAAAACAATATGCACTTGCTAATTAATCCATTGATCCCTTGATTTCCCTGTATCCTACTATGTACCTCCCTGTACTCCATGTTTTAAATTCTAGTTAACACTACCACAGTGCCACATTGCTCTCATAAGGACATGATCAAAAATCCAAGACGTCTTCAATTGGTTTTAACAGGCTTTGGCTAAAGCCTGATGGCAGTTTTTATCCAGAAGGAAGATCAGTTTCTTTATCCCCATTTGTAACACGAGGAAACTGAGGCACAGAGAGGAGTAGGGATTTGATTGTGGTTACCAGGAGAGTAGTGGCTGAAACTGTGATACCTGATTTCCAAGTCCAGCACCTGCCCAGTAGACTGCTAGTCAAAATAGGAACCTTGGGAGGGCATAAAATGATGACGTTTAAACAAAAGCCTGAGCATTCCCCGTAGGAACTAAGCAATTAGCAGTTTGAGCTGGTTTGGACTGTAAAAACTGGAGCTGTCAGTGTAATTGAGTGGAATGGGGGAAATGTTTTCTGTTCTTATATTCACTCAGCCAGGAGTCTCATTAGCAACTGGTAATAGCTAGTACAGTGTCCATATTAATGAAAATGCTTGGTGACAAACTGAATCCTTTGGAAAATGAAAACCACCTTCTGAAGTTCTAGCTGGAACCCTCATAGCTACCCCCCAGCTCTTGAACATGTAGTAATAGCTGTGACTTGGTCCAGTTAATTTTGTTCACTGGATGGCTTCCAAAAGGATCTATTATTCAAAGCATTTCTGGTATTTATCTTGGGGATTTGAAGTGAATGGTAATGCGTCAGCAGCACAGAATGCCTCTTTATGTTCCTTTCGTCCAGTTTTAATGCCAAAGATATTTTGGGTTTTGTCTAATTGTTGCAGCCAGCAGTTCAAAGGCCATATCAGAAAATAAAGGGGAAAAGTGAACTTCCATCATGGCCCTCTGTTCAGCATCTATGGGAAGGGCTTGGAACATGTATCCATCCATTACTGAAGCTTTGGCTTCCTTAAATAAGGTCAAGTTCTGCTCTCTGATATAACTGTGTAAATCTGGAGTTAAAGGGGTTACTCTGGATTTACACCAGTGTAACTAGGAGCACAGTTTGCCCCATGATCGTTGGAGCCAAATCCAAGTCTCTGTGAAATAAAATAAAACATGAGTACTTCCAGCCGACCCCCATCAAATGCTTTCTCTGCAAAGTCCAGCGACACAGCATTGCTTACAATCAGCCTGATTGCTGCTGGAATTTGCATTATGTTCAAAGACATATATCAATTATGTTATTTAAATCACATCGATTTGTTCATAAGACACACCTGGCCAGGATGAATAAAGATGGGGAAGAACAAGAAGAAAAACAACCACCAACAACCCTTTAATTCAGTTGCTTGTTTCTTAGACAGAACATTAGGGGCATGATCTTGCTGGCCTATTGAAACTAAACTCCCTCTGTGCTCCGTGCTCTACCCAGCTAACAACGAAACACGCTCAAGGGGTCTATCCACGGGACAAAACATGTGCCTAATTCCCACTGTTATTAACCAGTGTTGTGTTCAAACATCAAAGGGGGAATAGAGAACCCTTTAGAGGCTACATTAATGAGACCTATTGAAAAATAGTTTCCTGGTTAGTAATTTCGGATATTATTAATGTGCTTCTGAGGGCAGAAGGGAAGAATGCTGACATTCAAAGATGACTGATATACGTCCCGGAGTAATAGAGAGAGATTGATCTATACAATTTTTTATTATAGGAAAAGATATCTGCTAATAAACCATCCATGCCTAGCAAGTCATCAGAATGCAAGCTAGAGGATGTATGATGAATCTCAGGACTGGATTATTTCATTCAAAACAGAGTGTGTGTGTGGGACGGGAAGGTTGAGAGAGTAAAAGAGATGACTCCCAGATTGCTGATCTGCTTGTTACAAAACTAGTGCAAAATAGCCAAAGGTGAAAGCAGATGAAAAAGCACAAACAGTTCTTCTCAGGTTGCATATGGGGGATTGTGTCTGGAGAGACTTTTGGTTTGAGACTATGTTGCTTCCCCACTTTCCACTCCTGTTTCTCAATAGCTTGGTTCTGCATTACAATGGACCTTTTGCAAAATGTGGAAATTTTACAGTGTGTGCACATGGGGAGATAATCTGTAACAACAACAAAAAAAAAAGATCTGTATGAACAACAAAGATCTCAGGTCAGAATCTGATCACAGTTACACCTTTATAAATCCAGATTTGTTTCACACCATTATTTAAGTGGCATTCCTCCAGATTTACAACTGTGCAAGCAAGAGCAGAATTTGGTCTCTTGATTTTATTTTGTGAAGAAGAATGAATGGGCCCGATTCTGGTCTCACACCTGTGTGAATTGAGAGTGAACTTACTGAAGTCAAGAAAGCGGCAACAATGTAAACTGGGCCTAGAGAAATCAGAATCTGTCCTTTGTTCTTGTTTTTAGTTCAATGCAGAAACCATCAAATATATCCAATAAAGACAGCTTGTTGGCTGTGCTCCCAAAGGGCACCTTTAGCCCTCTAAATTTTCTCTAATAAAAATGGCACCTTATAGACAAATTGACTGGAGCATAAGCTTTCATGAGCAAATCTGATGAAGTGGGTCTTTACCCACGAAAGCTTATGCTCCAATAAATCTGTTAGGCTATAAAGTGCCACAGGACTCGTTGTTTATGCAGATTCAGACTAACACGGCTACCCCTCTGATACTCTAATAAAAATGTAAATTTCCTCTTGTTCTATCCAGATTAAATCTTAAATGTTTTTAGACTCTCCTTTATTAGCCATTTGCTGTCACATGTTATTGTCTCATCCTGTTTGTAACTCTCTGGGCAAAGACCCCACAAAATGACATGAAGCTCAAAATATTGAGGGAACAAATTCTTTAATCTACACGATATTTTCCACTAACTGCTGTTTCATTATTGGTTTGAAAAAGGGGGAAAACTCATTGTCTTTGTGGAAGAATTCAGGACAGCCCTCACAATGAGGATGAGCCAAGAAACATGAATTTTATTTTACCAGAATATAGCACTTTCCATCTCAAAGTCCACAAAGTGGTTTTTAAACCATTACACACTGAACTGTTGAAATGCAGCTACTTCTGGGTGGGAGGGCTGATCTAGCAAACAATCCATAGAACAGCACAATAAAACAGGGATGAGGAGCTTTGGGAAAACACACCAGAACAAACACGATCTTAGAATATTACTAAAGGAACTTTTGTCTGTTTACAGTAAATATTTATACGGTGTCCATGGAAAGCAGAGAAAACTACAGTCTCTAAAAATCTCAGCTTAAAGATGCAGTAACACAATCTGATTCAGAAATTCATTCCAATCCTGCAGTCAGTTACCAACTTGTTAGCTGGAGGATATAAACTAGGAGATACTACATGCAGTTCTGAAGTGCCACTTATGTGTTTGGGTCAGGTAATCTGGAAAGAAATCTAGCATTGAGCAGGAAGATAAAAAATCTCACAGCTACCAATAAGATCATTATCTTTTGATCATTGTTATGATTTTTATGAGAATAATTAGAGGCTCTTTTCTTAAAAATCCATCTCAAGGGTGCTCAAAGTAGTTTACAGCACTTACGACAGGTTAAGAACCGGGCTAAAGCAATCAATCAGAATTATTGCCTGAGAATCCACATCTGTGACATAGTGAAACAAGTATATTTTTTAAAAGGAGATTTGCGACTAGGTGACTATATCCTAGCCAAAAGAACCTCTGTTTTTCGTTAGTATGCACATTGCAATTATTGTAGCCTTCAGCATCCATTAACATTCTGAAGGTTCCATTTTTATTCTCTAATATCAATGAAATGTACTAAGATATTTCCACAATCTGCTGCTTTCACAGCCTCAGTATTGCCCCAGCTGCTTCTGCAATAATTACTGTTCCCTGACACTTGTCCAGACTAACAGTATGATGGAAAATGATACCTATTTCAGACCCAAGCTGGTAGTTCATTGCATCCTAAATGTGTTCTCCAAGACCAGTCAATTTATACCTGACTATGTATGGCATTTCAGATGCTGGCGAGTGCTTGTCTTTTTCCACCCAAGTATGAATGGCTAATACCCACTATTTCCTTTTCAGGGACAGTAACAGAGTCACTGACCAATCGAATGGGGTCTAAGCAGAGTGGACTAAGGGCTTGCCTACACTTAAAACACCGCAGCTATGTTGCTGTAGCACTTCAGTGAGTACATGAGTTCCACCAATGGGACAGCTTCTCCTGTCAGAGTAGGTAACCCTCCTCTTGAACAGGCGGTAGCTAGGTCAATGGGAGAATTCTCTGGTTTACACCAGGCCTTACATTGGGTGAACTGTGTCAGTCAGGGGTGTGGATTTTTAACACTCTGGAGCAATGTAGCTATACTGACTGAATTACCTGAAGTAGACAGGCCTAACTCACAGCACAAACCAAGGAGCTCCCCTCCCCCCTCATAAACCTGGTTTCTTCCTGGTTCAGCAATTAATTCCACCCAGCCTTATGTGCCCAAGTCACCTAATCATCAAACCAAGAAAACAAGTCCTCCCCTATTGGCGGGGGACCCCCCCAGCCACAATCCTCCTCTTGCCGGGGTAACGAAGGACAAAGGAGACCAGGCTCAAGTCCTTTCCTCCTCCTCCATTCTACCCCATAAGAAACCTCTGGCTTTTCCCGCTTCACAAGACACAGCAGTCAGCAACACGGTCCATCTGCCCCATGGGCCAGAGCTGACGAGGGATGTAAAATCCCATTGAATTGGTTAACTGGTGAAACATATTGTTTAACCAGTTCACTGATTAAAGGGGAGGATGGGTGGCGGGGTCACTCCAGCCCGGCTGGAGCTCCCCACCCCCTGCCGCTGGGTTGGAGCAGCCCCCCCCTGCAGGCATCCCCAGAGCGGACAGGTTCTCGCTCCTGGCCTGGTGCCTCATGCAGTTCCTACCGGCCACACTTCCCTTTCCATGGCAATGACTGGGGTTTAAGCCTTTCCTTGCTCAACATGGGTTGGAGTATTCATCCCCCGCCACTGACCTCAGTCCTACTCCCGCCAAACTGAAGGGGAGCAGAACTGGTGGGTCTGTCATGGGCATCAGTTTTTGACAAGAACATGGAGACCATTAACCTAAATATCATTGGATTTTGCTGCCATAGTGTCAATTGCTATCTGCCCAGAGTTTGATTTTAGCTAGCTGTCAAGCTAGCAGTCCAAGACCTAGGGCAGGCTCACGTCTCAAAAAAAGCCCAGCTCTTCAGCTGAACTGTACATGTTTTTGGACTCTCCTTTATTAGCCATTTGCTGTCACATGTTATTGTCTCATCCTGTTTGTAACTCTCTGGACAGGGAGCAAAATTCTCCTGCTGTAACTTACAAAAGATGTTTCAGGGTCTTGTTAGCCTTTGCAACATCACCATGCAGGTTTTGCTAACAGAAAAAGGTCAGGGACAAATGGGAGAAAGATCTCAATAAAATGAGACGTTCATGTCAGATTTACACTTGCATGCACAGGGAGATAAAGTTCCAGGAAACCTCCAGAAGCTGAGATACGTGAGGAAGGTGGTCTGCAGGTTTTTATTTGATTAGTCACATTCTATGTTCCTTATTGCCTGGAGGCCAAGTGTGGTGCTGCCTTCCACCCCACACCCACGCAGTCCCCCTCATTTTCCTTAATAGGGCTGGACAGGTGATAGCTCTCAGTTTGGTCCTTTATATTTAGAGGCATCTCTAGTGCGGTCGCAGTGACTCTAACGCTGAAACTGCTCTGGCATTTACACAAATTGGGCACAGCATCACAATGGAAATTACACACATTCATCTGAAAGCACAGATCCAGGGGAAATGCAAAATGGGAAATGCCTCTTAGCCACCTCGCATCTCTAATCAGTGCAAAATTACAGCTGATTTTCTCCCCCTGCCATGCTTTTAGGGAACATTTTCTAAATGGCACTTCTCAGACCTCTGAAAGAGATACACATATTGGACTAATGCCTCTTCATGTTGAAATTAATGCAAAGCATAATGCTGCCTCTATGAATCTAATAAGTCAATGAGACTAATGGGCCAAATTTGCTCTTGGACATACATCTGCATCTCCTGTTTATATCAATAGACATTGCCTGCTCACATCTGAGGGCAGAATTTGGCTTTATAGCTGGAGAAAAGAAACTATTCCAAAGACAGATTTGTTTTCTGAAATAAACAGAGACAGGCCATGCATGGATACTAGCATGTGCAGAAGGCCCAACCCCAATTTGTGTGGACATCCTCCTGGGGCCCAGGAAGTAATAGTAGCATCCTATGCTCCTGTCCTAATGGGAAGTTGAAGACTCATTCTATCCTAGTAACCCTTCCTCTAGCCCCTCTAATGCCCATCCAGTGCCCCTACGCAGACTAGCCAAGTGTTACTCAGATAACAAACAATCATATCAGCCAGGCTATGTCCACTGCATGAAAAAAAGGAGTAGAAACGGAACGACAAAGTCTTCCACAGCTGCACGTCCCAGATGGTCCACATCAGCCCTCTCCCCTGTATGTTACCATTTATGGTACTGCAGAGAAAGCATGTGAGAGCTGAGGTTCTCGTTGCTGCAACATGGACCTAGCAAGAACTCGGTGATTTCACTGAGTTTGCTTTAAGATGTTGGCACCCATTCTGGCCCAACACTGATGGCAAAAGAAGGGGCAGTAAGGTTTGAACAACATCAAAGAAAAGCTTTGCACGATCCCCTACCCGGCACATCTAAAACTCTGAGAACAAAGCAGGCGCCACTCTCAGGACCAAAAGCTAAGACCAACTGGGGCTGCATTCAAAGCCACTGAATGGTGCCTCCTGCTACAAGGCCCAAATCTCATTTGGTAACCTTCCCCCTCCGTGCTATTACCACCTGTTGGGCCACAGGGGGTGCAATCTCTTCAAGGGACACGCGTTACTCATCCAGAATAAAGGCTTGGGCCTGAGAAGGCTGAGAATGGCTGGAGGTTTCTTGTGGTACACCAACACCAGCGCATATGGTTCCTCCCCTGAAGGTTTCACCACCTAGGCAAGGAAGCTGAGGCGGTGAAACATCTAGGGAGGAAACATATCCACTGGCACCATGGGAGCTCCAGGGCTGGAAAATAATAGTGGGCTCTCAGCACCCACCAGCAGCCCTGCCAATCAGTTCCTCCACCTCCCCTCCAGCGCCTTCACCCACCAGCGGTGTTGGAGGTGCTGGCGGGGAAGATGTGGAAAGAGACAAGAAGAGGTGGGGTGAGGTGGAGGAGGGGTAGGGGGAGAAGGCAGGACAGAGGGTTGGGACAGAGGGTTGGGAACTCAGAATGCCGGTGCCTCTGGTAGGGACGATGGCTCCATAATTAACACACTGGTGCTAAATAACACAGTGCTACATTGATAATAACAAAGATGAAAGAGGAGACCATCCTAATTCCCGTGAAAGAGGACTCGATATTACCCCAGAGATACCCCAAAATTACCTCAGCTTGAGGCACAACCCCTACTGCTTGGCAGCAGAGTGTTAAACATCACAGTAGCGCTCACCCTGTCCCAGATGAGACAGGCTCTCATAGCTATGCCCCCTCCATGGTTTTTATGCATGATTTATATGGTGTTCTGCTAGAGAGCAGGAGAGACACAGACAACTGCAGTGGTCAGTGTCATTGTGCCAAGGGAACCGGTGGTAGTTAAACACAGGGAAGTCAAAAAGATGCAGCAGCAGCTGCGCCTTACCAAGTTGCCTTCATCATCACCATCATCGCAGTCCGGGATGGGATCATCCAAATGGAGCTGATGTAACAAGACTCCCGGGGAGGTTTTCCCATTGCAGTCTTGATGCTCTGATGCAGCGGTCCGGCTGCTGTGCATGCTACTGGTTCGGTAAAGGGAAGGCACCTGCAAGGTATCTTGGAGATCGAACGAGCCTTTAGTTTCCAGCGACCCCATGCGGTGAGATAAAGAGCCATTGATGCTCCCAGACCGACTGGACCTCTCCTCGTCCGAGCTTTCCCCTTCCTCTGAACTCTCCTTGCCATTCCCAGACAACAGGGACTTGCGCTCCCCACTCTGGCTCCGGCGTTTCAGGCTGGGAGCCCGCCCCAGGCTATTCCAGCTTGACCTGCGACTATTCCAGCTGCTGGCTGCACTCCAAGGGCTGTGGGGGGTGCTCTGTATGCTGGACTGAGAAAGGGACAAGAACAGTCAACCCAGCATCATGGCCGCCCATCTTGTTTGTTTCCCATGGGCAGGCCTAGAGACCCACAGGCAGTGAGCTCCTAGACAGACAGACAGGTGGCTCACACCGCTGGAAACAGCCACACAAAACAAACAAAAACAAAGTAGCCACAAAGGGGGATCAGAAAGATGAGTTACATACCGGTGACCTGAGGTCATAGGCATTGGGATCCATGGAGACGCTGCTGGCCCTGCGAGATTCGCAGCCCCGAGCTGCATCCCCAAACATGGCACTTTTGGGCATTGGCATTGGAGTGGCAGCTGTGTGGATGATGAGGGGAGGAGTCAGGCTCTTCTTCAGCTCCAGGTGGTCGCTTGGGGCCATCACTAGAAGAAACATGGAGTTTTTAGGCACTGCAGCTCTGGGGACAGGCAATAAACCATCATTCTCCATTACCCTTCAGGGTGTACCCAAAATCAGGGTGATAAAGGAGGTGATGGTCCCAAAGGAGCCAGGACAGGTGCCAGTAACATCATTTCACAAAACGAGGAGAACTCGTCAATAAATGGGACAAAGAAAATTTTCAATGAGTGAGTGGGAGGTTGGGCTTTTGTTCTAAAACCAGAAATGGCATTGCCCGGGGGTTCAAATAAACCTGTTTCGAAGATCACCAGCCAAGAACAGACACTGGTTTGTCATCTGCTGCATCAGGAGCACCATTAATCTGCTAACCATGGCACCCCCAAGTACTCCTTTCCATTAATGTTTTGGTTCTTCCCAAACTTTGCGCCCTACAATGTCTCCTTCTCCTCCGGTAAGCTCTTTTCCTACTTCCTCTCCCTATGCTCTTCCTTCCCCAGTTCTCTACTCCTTCTGTATACCTTCCTCCATGCTCTTTCATCTGAAGAACCACAACACACCTGAATGTGTTCTCTGGACCCATAATCCCCCTTTTCTCCAAGCTTTGACTCCTCCAGTTTCTCCTCTTCCTGCCTCCCCAAATCTTCTACATTGTGGACAATAAACATGTCTCCCTGAAA